TCTCTCTCTCTCTCTCTCTCTCTCTCTCTCTCTCTCTCTCTCTCTCTCTCTCTCTCTCTCTCTCTCTCGCTCGCTCGCTCGCTCTCTCCATCCCATGATATTCAGCACCCACCGACTTTTGTTGTGCCCTCGCCACCCCCACTTCCTTGTGTAATGAGTGAGGCCACTATCTCGATTTTGATGCAGGTTTTTTCGGTCACGTGGGTATGGACGCGGCCACCGCCTCACCTTGACATGACCGCTCTTCCCCCTGACCCCTCCCCATATGGCTACACCCCCCCTGGGCATCTTCCCCCACTTCCAGCCCCTCTCGCCCTGCCCCTCCATGCCACAAACTTTTTCGGAAACTCTCTCTCTCTCCCTCTCTCTCTCTCTCTCTCGCGCGCGCGGACCTCGTCGCTGGCTAGGAAGTCGCCATCTCCGTCTCCATACTCGAATAGGACAGACAACTGTCTGCAAGTTCCGTCATTGTCGTTAGGGAAATGACTGTGTGCAGACAAGGCGAAAAAAGTTAAAATAAAAAAAGATAAAGAAGTGAACAGCACACTACACACACAGGACGACATACAGACGCACATGCACGTGCACGCGCCTACGCACACGCACATGCACACACACATGCATACGCACACATAAACGCACACGCACACGCGTACACACACCTGCGCCGAAGTGGATGAACACAAAGGTGCGATTCACAACCCCAAACGTGCAAGCACAGGCTAACAAGTGATGAAAAATGACGTGAATCCACATAACACATGAAAAGCTGCACGCACACACGCTCATTGAAGAACGATTATGGCATTAGGGGAATTACACGGCGTCACCGCCAGCTGTGGTGCACAGGTGGGGAGCGATGGCCAGGCAGGCCAGCCCGCAGTGGCCATGTGACCAGGCGAACGAAACCATAGAGGACCGGTAGGGACTATCGACATGAAAGGGTGTTTCCAACAAGCGCAGATAAGGACGTAAAAAAATAACAAAAGCAATATTATATTACAAAATAAATTACCAAAACGAAGAAAGAAAAAAAACACCACGGGAAAGTTTTTGTCAAAATTTAGAGGGAGGTATTCCCTTTCCGCCACCGCTGGAAATAATGAAAGAGGGTGGCGTTCGGCCACGCAATGGACTGGCCCGACTGTTTCAAGGGCCCTGGCCACAATCCGCCGCTCTACTGCCTCTTCGGCCTGGGCCCGACGTTCTGCACCTTGGGACTTGCCGAAAAACCCGGCCCTAACTCACAGGGCCAAGGGTTTTTGGTTATCTGGGGGAGTGGCAGTACGGCGACTCCCCCCCCGACATCAAAAACCTCGGGGGACGGGTAGCGCCGTTTCACGTGGGGTACTGTTAGCATAAAGTGGAAAACCAGGTGAATGGCAAAAATAGAATTTGCATCAAAAAATTGGAAATGCACTGAATCGGCGTGGCGATTATTTCCCGGTCAAAATGATTTTATTATTTATTCGGATATTTTTCCTTGAAAGATCACAAGCTAATCTACGGACCCTCAAATTTTCAGATTTTTTTGAAGAATTATTCTGAGCACGAAAAATCGCCAAAGTTGCGGTTTTCAAATGGCAGGATTGGACCCGCTGGTGACAAATGGTCGCCGCCCGTCCTTAGAACCCGACCCTAAGTCACAGGGCCGAGGGTTTTCGGCTGCCGGGTGGAGTGGCGGCGTAAACCACCAGTACAAGCCATACATGGGTCGCAGGCTCCTTTTGGAGACCGGAAAACCGACGCCGGGTCGCCGACTCTTTTTTATGGATGGCGTGTAGGCCCCAAACTTTATGGAAGAGGGGAGGAGTTTGTTTTATTAGCAAGGCTGGGGCCGTGTACTGGCGGTTTAGCACAAGTGAAAGGTGATGAGGCCGTGTACTGGCGGCTTAGCACAAGGGAAAGGTGATTAGTTCAACTGTAGTGCACTGCGCTACCGTGCAGCACTAAGAGTTTTGAGTGGTGTGGTGTAGTGGAACGAGGCCCATACATTCTTCATTTTGCTCATTCCGAGAGCCGTTTGGCAAGGCCCATACTGTAGTCCTCAACCCGTGTTTTTTTGCAAAGGTAGGTCTTTGAGAAAAACATCGCCATCTACCGGGGGCTAGGTCCCACTTACACGAATTAAGAGATACTGACCGTAGATAGCACAGATCAACGGTCACAATCTCGTAATCCGTGCAAGTGGGACCTTGCCCGGGTAGTTCTAGGATTGGAACCCCTGACCTGCTTAGGAACGTATGCACAGTTCACTGAGTTCAGCCACTCGAGACGGCTGAGGCGCTGATTTGTCGAACTACTCATCATCTGTTTGCGGGCGCCGAGAAGTAAAGCACGCAGACAAGACAAAAGGGAGGGAAAAATTTGAGCGGGAAAAACCGAGTCGCCCGAGATGTCGAGAATGGAGACAAGACAAATTGGCGGGAAAAAATGAGCGAGAGAAACCGAGCGGCGCCTGATGGGCCCGACACGTGGGCGCTGCTGGGAACGCCTCGCTCGTCACGTTGCCACGTGTCATGTCCCTAGCCGTCCATGCAGGCTAAGCCACGTCATGCTCACCAGGCGCAAGTTGATTGGACTGGTGGACTGCTGCTAGAGCATACTCACACAAGAGGACATTTTCAACTGAGCTCTGGACGTAGTTACGGTCGCATGCATCCATGTCAGTCTGTGCTAGGCTGTAATTACGCTCAGGTACATTCAGGAAAGTCACTGGTGCCCTCAATCCACCCGCTCAGATACAACGTAGGCTCAGATCCTTTTTTCTTTCTTTCTTTCTTTTTTTTTTTTTTTTTTTTTAAT